TGTTGGAAATACCATCCATGCATAAATTAGTACAATATTTTCAGACTCTGCATAGGAATGAGGATATATATGAACTTAAAGGTGTACATATTGCCACCTTTGAACCTCATCTTTTCTCAAGCAATGTTGAACATTGTAGTATATCAAATGTTAATAGTTACCAATGTTCCTGTAAACAGTGCTGCCCTATAGCAGTTTATGCAATGTGTTATATTACTCTCTTATTTAAATCCTTGTGGATACCGGACTTAACTGTCATAGTCTTAGAAAGTGTTCCAGGGGCGAAAAGTTGTGGTCAACCGATTTGGCTGAAACTTGGCACAGAAGCTGGGTGTGATGAGATATTTCAAAAGCCACTTTGGCTCACTTCGCTGACTTTTAGTTTTGGAGTTACAATGGAGTCTCATATTTTGCCCTTTGAGCATCAAAAATCCAGCCTTCCAGCGGGCATTTTGAAAGTGTGATAAGACCCCACCGGTATATTGAGCTGCCAGATAAATTTGACCATGAACTCTACTATAATAGAGCTTTCACTTCATGCATGTAGCTTTGTCCTCAAGGTATTGCACAGAGAGGAACCTGGGGCCAGAGTTTGGTTAAAATTAATGTTAGAATTACAACCCAAAATAGCCAATTTTCAAAATTTCACTATATTCACCTGCCTTCTTGCGTAACGTCCATACCTATACCACTGTTTACTTTAGTCACCCAATTATCAAAATCAGTTGAGAAAAATTTGGCTTATTATGGTTTATTGAATTTTTGGAACAAACACTTCATGCCCCTCTAAGGCGATGCAAAATGAAATTTTGAGGATAATTCAGGCCATAAACAAATCAAATTGTTGACAAGAAGCCCTTATTATGTATTCGGTAAGTGAAAATGAATTGTCAAAGCCAAATCAGTTTCTTTGTTTAGAAATACACTAATTCTTACCTGTAGATTGATCTAAAACGGGCCTCTGATTAGCACAAAAAACACATGATTTTGCAAAACAAAGGTGAGTTTATTGTTTGAAAACCTAGTAACTGTTGTAACCGATCTAGTCGGCAAATAACGAAGGATTACAACGTATTCTACCTTAGAAGATGGCTTTATTACGGCTACACGACTCGTGGTCCTTAATTCTATAGTCAGGCGTTCCAATGCCCTACTGAGGGGGAGTCTGGGTCCAATACACAACATCCCTCCCCATTTAGATAGAAAACAATAACATTTAGCAGAAGTAGAAACAAAATAATAATTGGTCCAATAAACATAAACATGGACTAGCAACAATGTCAACAATGTCTCTGAGATTTCAGTGTCTCTAAAGTCTAAGTACAATAGTCTTTGAGATAACTTAGGGCCACTCTGTGTCTCTGGGACCTCCTAAGTGGAACCTCAGGCTCAACAACATTTGGTTCCGGTATCACCACACTCTGCTGCGGGGTCGGTTTATCCTGCTTGTGGGGCTCTCCGGTGATCACCACTTCCAGTATACTTGGTGTGTCATCATGTGCATCACCATTCTCTAGCAGTGTCTTTACATGAGATGTATTGCCAGAGTATTGGGCTCCTCCTGCAGATTGCACGATCAAGCTTTTCCCATGCTTGTTTACCACAGTGTACGGACTTGGTTCAAAACGAGTTGTGAGCTTGTTTTTCCTCATCTACATCTACATCTACATTTATTAAGTGGATAAAATCTTGTAAGACATCACATCAACTGTAATAAAAGCTGAAATAAAAAATATATATACATATATGTACATCTGAATAAAAGTCAGTACATATGAATAAAAGTCAATATGTCAAATAACAAAATAAATAGATGATGGGGAGGCAGCGTGGGCGAGTGGTCAGGGCGTCGGACTCGCAATCTTCATCACGTAGACTGTAAATTAATAGATGGAAAAGAAATATATTTGAAGTTAAATAGTCATCATTAGTAGTCTTATTAGCAAGTGGTAAAATTTGTTGCAGTATAGTTGATTAATTTAGGCCCAGTGCAAAAGTCGATTTTTTCATGTACCGAATGTAATTACCCTTTTTAGACCCAAATAACATCAGACGTCAAACTTGACTAGTCAGGCTCAATTAATTTTCACGATGTTCAATGTTTTAAAATGCTTACAAGTGAAAATAAATTTTGGTAATTTATGCATTAGGTTCGTCACATGAGAAGTTCGAGGTTTTTTCACTTTGAAACGAAGTCGCTCACGAAATCCCGTGTTGGCCACTCGATCTTAATTCGTGGGTCGACCCAAATTAGACACGTCGCACTTTATTGATTCAAACGTCGATCTCTTCATCTACTTGATTGAAGAGATTAGGTTTAGTACATGAAAAGATCAACTTTTGAACTGGGCCGTAGAGTTATAAAAATTAAAGAGGACAATGACAGGTGGTCTTTAATTGTTTGTTAGGCGAAACAGCTAGGATTAAGATACGTCTGACGGAAACAAAACATTTTAAAATTATGGATACTTTTGGTTTTGACCATCTTAGCTTAAGAAAGAACAAAAAGCACACTGCGGTGATAAACATAAGGGAATATAAACGCTTTTCTGGAAGGAAATAAAACTTTAACTTTTGCCTCTCCAAGGAAGCTTGCAGAGTATCTGCAGTAGGGAGCCTTAGCAACGACGACGGCGACGACAACCACGACGTCAAAAAAGCAATAGGTTTATTATGCAAAACAACAACTTTGCACGTGCATCACGCATTTTGGTACATTTCTTTACCGTCCTTGCGCGACTACGACGTGAAAATACCTAATTGCAAGTTTAATGGAGGACGTAAACAAGCGACGACGAATCTCTTTTTCTCCCTCTAAACTTGAGTGCGGTCCTCAAGAAGTCAACTCCAGGGAAATTCGTCTACACTTGCAATTTTCAGCAGATTGGAATTAACGCGACAAAGATTGAAAAAACACGAATTCATTTTAAAAGTGACGTTTTCGCTGCCGTTTGCGTCGTCGATGCTAAAGCTCCCTAGTATCTTGCGGGCAACGACACCGCATACGAAGAATATTTTTGTTGGAAGAAACAGTATCAACGCATTCGAACCCGGTGTGCTTGTGAATTGTGTAAACAACTTCATAACCGAAGCCTTTATACACCAACGAGAGTATACACAAACATGACGAAATTCTGGAATAGAAAGCAGTGTAAAAATCGTATGCACCAGTTACTTTCCCGTTTGGCACGGTTCGGATACGGTGCTAGATACTAAATTCTTTGAGAAGTTTTTTGGCCGTATTTGTTATCGGAAATGAATTGTTCTGAACAATAGCCAAAGTTCGATCTGTTAGACTAAAATTCTAATATGACTCTGAGGCTTTAGTAGCCTCCCACGAGCTCCCCCAAAAACGCCTGCGTGGGACGCGGTACATGTACGATGCTGTGCGTGGGGATTTTGCATTATCAGCAAGTTTTGTGTTAGAGTGTTTTGATGGCAGCGAGGTGACGACAAGAGAAGGTAATGAGCTAGTTTTACAGAAGGAAAATTGTGTTGTGGAGGAAATAAAAGAAGTTGAATTGAGATCTCGTAGTGGGAAATTAATTTATAACAAAACTTACAGCTCCACTGGTTTAAATCAGGTTAGTCATTTCTCTCAACGCAGTCATGCACCTAGCAGACTACCGACGAACAAATTAAAATCTTTGTTACAGAAAACAGGGAAAGTGACACTTTCTGTATGGAAGAGTATTCGGAAAAATACATCATTGTCGTCTGAAATTCATTGTTACGTTAAAAATATAAAAGATTTGCACTTAAACATGTACAGAAGTAACTGTAACAGTGTGAGATTTTTACTTAAAGGGCAACTCCAAAACTAGTTCGTAAACGAGGAAAGGTGTATCTGTCGTTTAAGCATCAAAGCAAAGGCGATTGAGGTGGAATGAGATATCCAAATAGGCTTTTAAGTAAGAATTTGCCCCCCTGTACATGCAATTATCCAATTTATAGTTCTTACAACAGTTTGAATCACCGGGTTAATTTTGGCCAATTTAAACTTTGTACTGATATCGAGAAGAATTCAGGACCTTGAGTTTATGTAGATGCTACAAATAAAACAATTCATGCTCCATACTGTCAAGGAAACGTTACAGTATTTGGGGAAACTGCTGGACAACAATGTGTCGCAATGAGTCTGTGCGCTTTAATTTATAGTAAGATAACAAAGATGACTTCAGTTGATGATATGACTCAAATAATGATTGTTGGTTTTCAATTATATTCTAGTCTGTCACTGCCTGCAAGACGATCTATGTTAATGTTAATAGAATTGCCAGGAATTGTTACAGTGTTGGAGCAATTTTTCCACCTTGAATACATTGACAGTTATACTTGTAACATCCATGGTGATCCCAGAACTGAGGGGTGTCACTACTGTATATGCCACTCACAGGGTGCAGCATTTGAAACACAGTCTTGGCACTGAACTACAACTCATTCATTTTAACGGTGGCAATTATCGGTGTTGGTATCTACAGCATTGAGGCTGGGGGATATATCATGCTAGAGATATGTATCATAACAGTCATAGTGAAGGGACGTGTATTGTTGGAAATACCATCCATGCATAAATTAGTACAATATTTTCAGACTCTGCATAGGAATGAGGATATATATGAACTTAAAGGTGTACATATTGCCACCTTTGAACCTCATCTTTTCTCAAGCAATGTTGAACATTGTAGTATATCAAATGTTAATAGTTACCAATGTTCCTGTAAACAGTGCTGCCCTATAGCAGTTTATGCAATGTGTTATATTACTCTCTTATTTAAATCCTTGTGGATACCGGACTTAACTGTCATAGTCTTAGAAAGTGTTCCAGGGGCGAAAAGTTGTGGTCAACCGATTTGGCTGAAACTTGGCACAGAAGCTGGGTGCGATGAGATATTTCAAAAGCCACTTTGGCTCACTTCGCTGACTTTTAGTTTTGGAGTTACAATGGAGTCTCATATTTTGCCCTTTGAGCATCAAAAATCCAGCCTTCCAGCGGGCATTTTGAAAGTGTGATAAGACCCCACCGGTATATTGAGCTGCCAGATAAATTTGACCATGAACTCTACTATAATAGAGCTTTCACTTCATGCATGTAGCTTTGTCCTCAAGGTATTGCACAGAGAGGAACCTGGGGCCAGAGTTTGGTTAAAATTAATGTTAGAATTACAACCCAAAATAGCCAATTTTCAAAATTTCACTATATTCACCTGCCTTCTTGCGTAACGTCCATACCTATACCACTGTTTACTTTAGTCACCCAATTATCAAAATCAGTTGAGAAAAATTTGGCTTATTATGGTTTATTGAATTTTTGGAACAAACACTTCATGCCCCTCTAAGGCGATGCAAAATGAAATTTTGAGGATAATTCAGGCCATAAACAAACCAAATTGTTGACAAGAAGCCCTTATTATGTATTCGGTAAGTGAAAATGAATTGTCAAAGCCAAATCAGTTTCTTTGTTTAGAAATACACTAATTCTTACCTGTAGATTGATCTAAAACGGGCCTCTGATTAGCACAAAAAACACATGATTTTGCAAAACAAAGGTGAGTTTATTGTTTGAAAACCTAGTAACTGTTGTAACCGATCTAGTCGGCAAATAACGAAGGATTACAACGGATTCTACCTTAGAAGATGGCTTTATTACGGCTACACGACTCGTGGTCCTTAATTCTATAGTCAGGCGTTCCAATGCCCTACTGAGGGGGAGTCTGGGTCCAATACACAACATCCCTCCCCATTTAGATAGAAAACAATAACATTTAGCAGAAGTAGAAACAAAATAATAATTGGTCCATTAAACATAAACATGGACTAGCAACAATGTCAACAATGTCTCTGAGATTTCAGTGTCTCTAAAGTCTAAGTACAATAGTCTTTGAGATAACTTAGGGCCACTCTGTGTCTCTGGGACCTCCTAAGTGGAACCTCAGGCTCAACAACATTTGGTTCCGGTATCACCACACTCTGCTGCGGGGTCGGTTTATCCTGCTTGTGGGGCTCTCCGGTGGTCACCACTTCCGGTATACTTGGTGTGTCATCATGTGCATCACCATTCTCTAGCAGTGTCTTTACATGAGATGTATTGCCAGAGTATTGGGCTCCTCCTGCAGATTGCACGATCAAGCTTTTCCCATGCTTGTTTACCACAGTGTACGGACTTGGTTCAAAACGAGTTGTGAGCTTGTTTTTCCTCATCTACATCTACATCTACATCTACATTTATTAAGTGGATAAAATCTTGTAAGACATCACATCAACTGTAATAAAAGCTGAAATAAAAAATATATATACATATATGTACATCTGAATAAAAGTCAGTACATATGAATAAAAGTCAATATGTCAAATAACAAAATAAATAGATGATGGGGAGGCAGCGTGGGCGAGTGGTCAGGGCGTCGGACTCGCAATCTGGCGGTCCCGGGTTCGAGTCCCGCTCTGGCCACTTGCTGGATTTGTGCTCGGTCGTCCCGAGTTCAAATTCTCGGCCACGCTTGTAAATAGCCAACTGGTTGCCTTCTGCCAGTTTGGGGTTTTTAATCCTGTTATGTTGTATTTGAATTATTTGTTTCTAATATTTGAGTGGAGTGCCTGTAAATTAGCTGGACAAGCTAAGTGCTCTTTCCACTATAAACAAGCCTTTAACCTTTAACCTTTTTTATGATAATTCAAAATTATAATTTACTTCACTTATTTCACGTGCTTTCCTAAATTTAACTTAAAATCAGATAATGACTTGCAATTTACTAAGTCAGCGGGCAGTGAGTTCCACTCTGTTATTGATCTAGGAAAAAAACGAAAACTTAAAGACGCCCTTAGAAACTTTTGGCATTCTTTACCTAAAAGCATGGCTGTTGCGTGTTCTTAACTCACTGTTTGGTATTAATTGTTCTTCTGTGTTTATGTCTACTAGATTATGACTAAGTTTGTACATCAAAGTCAATCTGTTTTTCTTTCGTCTTGTTTCTAATGTGTCCCATTTCAGATCAGATAACATGTCTGTCACACTTGCTGTTTTATTGAAGTTTTGAAGGCAAAAACAAGCAGCTTTTCTTTGAACTCTCTCCAAGGCTGAAATATCTTTTTTGTAGTGCGGGTCCCACAAGGCTCTTGCGTACTCCAGTTTGGGTCGGACGATGCTGGTATAGGCCGTTTCACGTACTTTCCTTGGGCAGTTCCTGAGATTTCTCTTGATCAACCCAAAGGATCGACTCGCCTTGTTTGAGATAGATGAGATGTGTTCAGACCACTTTAATTTAATGTTAACAGTAATTCCTAGGTACGATGCAGAGTCTACTTGTTCGAGTTTGGACCCACAGAAAAAAAATATTACCGTTGAGGGGGTCTTTGAATATTTGAAATGCAGATGATATTGCATTTAAAAGGGTTAAATTGCATCTGCCACTCATTTTGCCAGATTTCTAGTTTGTTGAGATCGTCTTGGAGATTGTCGCAATCTGAGTCTTCAACCACCACTCCGTACAAGAGAATGTCATCGGCAAACAGCTTAACTGTAGGGGTTAGACCGTTTGGCAGGTCATGAATGTCCTCTCTTGTTGTACTAGCACTTGATCTCCAGGAAGTACCTCTGAGTACCTCGCATTCCTTTGCACGTCAGCATGTGGTTTGCTTTTACTCTTCTGTTCATTGTCCCTATCACGCACTTCTTGTTCGACATGTACCTCGCTCAGCTCAGGAAGCTTGGTACGTATTTTCCGTCCGAAGAGCAATTCGGCAGGGGTTACACCAGTCGTTGA